CCTTATCGGTCTCCCCCCCCCCCTTCTTGCTCCTCTGGGGAAAGTATTTAACTGTTTTTCTTTTTTTCTTTGTCTTCCCACCACGTATAATATGTAAGAAGCAAATCCCTGATTTGCTCTTGTTTGTTTTATTTATACCACAGGAGGGATGTACATTTCAAAATACAGTTATAAAGAGTTACTAACAATTCAGAAGAATATTTGTTTACAGGTAAATAAATTTGACATTCTGCATGACTAGTAATTACTTTTATGTAGTAGTTGATTTCCTGATGACAGCCACAACATTTGTCTGAGTTAACAGATTTAAAGACACTGTGGAACTACCTTTGATTTTTTAAATAGGAGGGGTTTTGTTGTGTGTGACGTTTATAGAACTGTTTTTGGTGTGCAGCAGTGGTAAATCACATTTAAGAATTGATCCAGTGTCCATAAGTAACTTCTAGCTCCAGCATTCATTTGCTGGCTTATAAAAATGTCCTGTAAGTGATTACATTAAGGATTAAATAGGTTCACAAATGACTTGATTTGTTTGGGGACAGAACAAAACTTCTGTTATAAATACTTTAAAATAGAATTTGATTAAATGCATCTCAAGTGGTACAGAAGTTCTGAGCAGCACAGTTCTTAAATTACATGAGCATAAACTGTAAAAGGACTTGTTCTTGTTTGGGAACATAAAGAGGATTTTGTCTGAGCTGTGTCTTTGACAGAGAGGTTATGAAGAAGTCTCTTTTCTGCCATCACTCAGTTTTGAAATAGCTTAGTTTGAAAAACCTTAGTTTGTCCTGTCAAACTATAGTTGCGCTTGCAGCTTGGACAGCTGGATGTTGTAACTCTGGCCCCTCACCTGAGCAATATTAACCTTGTGTCTATTGATCAGCAAAGGCATGGAGAGCACAAGTATTTCAAATTACAGTTTTGTAAACCTAAATTAGGCTAACAGATTGAAAGAAATGTGGATGTGGCTTTAGAGATTGTTGTTCTCCAGTTAGCATTTTCCCTATAGCTTAGAATCAGAGAAGCCTTTCTGAAGCTTGTGATAAGCTTGCTGCCATGAAATACCAGTTTAGATGCGGTGTCATTCGACACAGAACATAGAGTAGCAAATAGGAGTGACCACACCTAGCTTGTGGCCTGCAGTGCATTTTTGTAAAGTAAGCTAAGATGCTGGAACAACCTGGTCCTTCTAAGCTTTTCTGAAAGCTCTCTGCCCGGATTTGGTAACTGGGTCACAGCGCGAAGTACTGTGGGCTTAGAGGGCCCTGAGCGCGTTGGAACCGCTGCTGCTCCCGCAGAACACCCAAGGCAGGATTTGCATAACTCAGGAGATGTACTTCACTGGTCAAAGCCTGGTGGGGACACCTATCTCTACATTCTAATCGAAATATTGGCTGGAGCCCAGCTTTGTGTGTCTGTGCTGTTCAGGTACAGTTGTCTGTCTGCTGTAAGCTTATGGTGGGACCTACTGCAGCAGGAGAGCTTAGGTTGCTCATGATAGCCCATTCAGTGGGTGCAGACACAGGGTCCTCTGCCCTTGCAGTTCCTCTGTGTCTCATCTGCTCTCCTGACAGTGTCATGTGGCCAAGGTAGGCAAATAGGGGCAGCTGGATCCTTTTTTGCCTGGTCCTGCTGCTGTGGATGATAAGAAAATATAAGGCTGCATAGCACGTTAGGGCTCAGGGTGTCCTGGAAGCATCAGGACCATGCCACACCAGGGCAGTGGGCGTTAGTAACTGGTGGTGTCATGGGTGATGTGGAAGTGTTAGTCCAGGAGCATGCTTTGCTGTAACCTGCTCTCTGATCTGGACTAATTTACCCAGCCTGGACACAGTGTAACGTGTCAGGTGAGGCAGCAGCAGGACTGAGGTTGGTGGGTCTGATCCTCCTTCAGTCTCTTGCTTACTCTCCCTTATGAAGATGAGGCGATTACCATAGATGTTTCTGCATCCCATAAACTTAGGTTTCAGCTTCAGCATTAGGGAAGAATTCCTTTCCTTCCTGCTCTGCTTTAGGGTGTGAGTAGAAATGAATATAAAATTTTGTCTTGGAGAGAGGACAAGGAAAACAGATTCATCTTTTGATTTTGTGAAGACAAAAGAGGGTGAGCATAGTAAATAGAAGAATAAGAGAAGGAACTCTGCGACTCTCCCAATATGGAAAAAACAGTTCTGCTCCACCTTCTGTTGGATGGTTGGTTGGACTGACTCCTTAAAGCAGGTTTTGCTGCTGCAGTGCCTAGGGAAGTGAGTTATCTTATTATTTATAAAATAGTTAATAACCTTTAAGCAATTAATATATGCATAAAACCAGCCTCACCATGTTATGATGCTGATGTCATGCCGTTCATGATTTACTGCACTTCAGCCGCTTGAGGAATACTTTGGTATCGAAAAAGTATTACAGAAATACATATTGAAAAACAAGCAAACAGAAGGCTGGGAGAAAGACGGAGTTGTTTAGCTTTTGACAGTATTCAGTCATGTGCAGAGACACAGGCTGGAGCAGCCAGGTCATACTTACCTCAGATGCCCTCTGTTCACTGGGAACCATTCCTAGATGGCCATAAATGAGGACTGTAATCTTTTTTTTTTTTTTCCCTCCTCCAAGGATTTTATGGAAAAGGAACTTTCTCTGGTTTACGCATCTCCAGTAGTATGTTGACCTGTAGTTAACTTGCTCTTCTATTCCGAGAAATTACTCTTACTTGCTGCTGCTGTCTTCAATAGCGTCTTTTACTAAAATAGATATATTAGGCACAGCTTGAATGTGTGTTTTAAAATATACCCGATAGAGGAGGTTTGCTGCTGTTGGAGCTGTGTCTATGGACATCTTGTTGGACAGTGAGAAGGGATCCCCAGCTCTTTGCAGCGTGAAGAAAAGACAGCTTAAGTTCCCCCTTATAAAATAAGTGGTCTGGCATAGCTGACTGAAAGACTGAGGTGGAGCCCATGCTGCAGGTTGGTGTCAGGGATTTAATGTTTTACCACTTTGTTGTGCTGTGCTGCCCAGTCTCTTGTGCATGGCTCCTTTATAAGACCCCCTACTTCCTTCACCACCCCTCTCCCTTTGAAGGAGACAGGCAGGTAGAGACACATTTTTGGTAGCAGGGCTGCAGTAGCAAGTGAAGAGTGTTTCTTGGGTAGAAATTGTAGGGAAAAGGCAGTCCAAACTTTTTGAACACCACAGAGAGTAGAAAAAATAGTTCCTCTGAACTTCAGATTTCTTTGTTGATCTGCTTTTTTGGTCTGTATTGTAATTCAAATTCAAACTATGAGATGACAATTAAGCCCATGAAGAGCAGGAGGCTGCCAAGTGGTAATCTTGGCAAGCATTAACCCAGAAAAACCTGGAGTAAGTTAGGTGCAGATGGTGGAATTTTGGGCCTTTGTACCTTTTTCTGGTTTTAATAATAAGATTGTCCTTTCTACAGACTAGTTTGGCTTGTAGCTTAACTTTTTTAGGTATGGTTATTGAAAAGGCTATTGATTGTTAAGTGCAGCTAAATTGTTGAATTCAAGATGCAGAGATAGGTCACACAGTCCCTGTGTTCTCTTACAACACAATGTTAGAAGTGTTATTTTCACACCTGGGTGTTGCATTTCCAGACCTAAGTTGTTATAATCTTAGGGGTTTTGCTCAACACTTTGCAAATTGCTTGATGCTTAAACGAAGCTTCTAAATGAAGTCTGGTCTCTTGGCATCAACAAGTCAATCTAACTCGCATGGCTGTTGTGTGTGAAGTTTTGAAAGAACGGAAGCCTGCCATATTTATCAGGTTCTATCCTAATTGCTCTGGAGCTAAAGGAGTTTGTTCCAAGGTAACTCTGGCAGCTGTGGTTTACAGGTCTCTATTCCGCAGTATATGGTGTTGTCATATTTATTTATGAAATTAAGGAATTCTTACATGTCTCTTGTTCCAATGTAATTTTTTTGTGTCTTTTCCCTCCCTCAAGCAAATGTCTTACGTGTTTGTTGGAGTTGATAATTATAACCAGTGAGATATGGCAGATAGGTAACTTGGAAAAAAAAAGCAGCCCATCTTGTTTCTGGGGAAAAACTAGAAAATAAAGTGTTATTGGAAAAGCTGAGGAATAGTGACAAACAGTGAAAGTTCATAGGCAAAGTATCAGGGGAGTGACCTCCTTTCTCCCAGTCCATTTCTGCAGGCAGTGGATGGAACTTGTTCAAATTTGACCTCCTTGCTTTGGCTGCCCGTTTTGAAGTGCTGGTGACATACAGTACAGAGCCCTCTGTCCCTTCTGGGGTTTCAGTTCTAGGTTGGATTCATTCTGACCACCTGTTTCTTCCATCCAGGGTTGTGTCTTAGTGAGTTATGGAGAATTAGTTGCTTTTTAATCTAGTTTTTGATGGATGGCTATCACCTGCATGCTCAGAGATAATTGATGCACGTGTGCCAAATGCATGCAGAGACGGTATACATTTGTTAGGTAGGAATGCAATGTCTCTGTCTTGGAAAGAGACTCCAGTAAAAAACAGGTCTTTGGTGGCAGGTTACAAATGCTGCTGGGTTTTGTTTTATTGAACTTCTTGATTACTGCTGGGAATTTGTCACCAATTACATTTTTTGATCACTCAAGTAATACCAGATTGAGTGGTGATATGGACACTTTGGAGAGCACAGAAGTCATTAAAGTAAAACAAACAGAGAACATTTGTAGCACCAGAAGAAAAATAATCAGATTTAATTTAGAAAAATAAAAGAAGCTAATGCATTTGGGAAGAGAATACTTCAACGAGGAAGAGAAATGCACAGAACGTTTCTATGGTAGTCAGCCATGAGCTAGACATGCTTTCAATAAGATACGGTAGTTTTTATCTATTTAGATAGGGACTTCATCTCATAAAGCGGAGGAGGGGTAAAAATCCTAAGTGGTACTTAGGTGTATTTCATTGCGAGAAAGACAGCAGCAAACTGCAGCGCGTTCAGGGAAGAGCAATAAAATTGATCAGGGTGCTATAAGGGCTGATTTAGGATAACAGAAGGGTGTGTGAGCTTATCTGAGATTCTCTGTATACCTCTAAGAGAGGTAGGAGTTATAAATATCAGAGGTTGAGGAGTTGAGATCTGCGTGGGATTAACAGGATGATGCTGAAGGTAGGAAAATCTGAAGCAGAGTATTGGGAATTTTTACTGTCAGAGGTTTATCTCTAAGGTGCACTGTGTGCTAGTTGGTAGACTGCTACACATCAGGCTGTAAAGAAGCCTTCCAGAAGAGGTTCTTCAAGTTTTCTTACCAGGAAATATTTAAAACCAGACTTTGTGAAACCTCAGAATTTTTATTGTTGTGGAGAGTGAGGTGGTGTTGGAGAGATGGAGGCCTGCTGGGCAAGGTCTTGCATCCACCTCTAATCCAGACAGTGTCCAGTGATGCTGAGTCTGCCCACAATCCACCTACTCACTGAAGAAGCAAGACTTCAGCAAGCATGTTTCTCCATCTGCAGAGATATAAAAATCCTTGTGAAGAGCTAAGCCCTCATTTAGGATTTGTAATAATAGTTTAAAAACCCCCAAACCAACAACCCAGCAATGAAAGCTACTCCCTGCTGTATCCCTTACTGTACATATGTGACATGCTTCAAAATGATGGTGCATTATTCTTTTGATCCTTTTAGAAATAACTGAGAAGGAGAAAACCAGGAAAAAAAAAGCCCCATCCCTTTTGTGGAGCCTTCTTCGGAAGTTCAGGAATTCCAACAGAGTGATCTTCTGGCATAAACTGGTTTTTCAAGAGACATTCCTGCCATTATGAATGAAGTAGCAATAGTGAAGGAAGGGTGGCTTCACAAACGAGGTAAGCGTCTCTTCCCTCCAGGACAGTAGACTGACTTTCTCTGCGTGGTGATCTGTCCTTTAGCAGCATATCTTCAATAGTCTGTTATTTTCCTGTTCACCCAAATAGGGAATGGGATATAAGGAGTATGCTTTATACATATGTGTAAGTGACTTTCTTTCAAGTTTTTGAAGCACACGTACAAGGGGTTTCCTTTGAGAGTGTGTGCATGTGTCTGTGTTCACCGAAAACTGTCAACTGCTTTGAAAATGGTAATAAAAGATAGCAACTGAAGGAGATGATACTTAAGAGTGTTAAAGGTTAAACTGTAGCAAATTATTTTGATTTATATGGAGGTCTGTAGCTTTTCTGTTTGTGTTAGAAGGTAGAATTGTCTTGATGTGAATCCTCATTTGAACAGTGAAAAATACGCCTGTGTTTTGTGAGCAATGCTGTGCTCTTGCAGAGACTTGCTAGAGAATGTACTGTTTTGTGTCTGAACTGCTCTTGGTACCAGTGTCCTAGACAGGAAGAATAGCCTTGAGTTTCTGCACTCTCTGGATTTCCGTTGTACCACTAATGACATTTGATTTTTACAAAAAGTCTTTATTCTTGACTGGGTGGCAAAACTGAAATAACATAGTCACGTGTACAGTTTTGCTTTTTGCATTCTTAAATGTTTTATCCCCAAAACAGTGTGTTTGGTTTGTTTGGGGTGGTAAGGAGGTGTTTATTTTCAAGCACTACAGTGTTGCTCCTATAAGGTACTTGACTTACCTGTTTCTTTGTATTCTACTATCATTTCTTGGAAAGAAGAGAGCAGTGTTAGGTACTTTCCATAATATCATCATTTTTTTGGACCAAAAACAGAACGTGTATGCTCCAGCAGTAGGGAAACTTGCATGGTTCTGCAGACTCAGGATTTTTCTGGAGGGTTTGAAACAACTTGCCTGAAGGTGCAGAGGTATAGTATAATTATTTCTGGAAGAAAATGGAAATACGTTATTGTAACCTTGATAAAGGCTGATGGTTCTTCTGCAACTATAAGAAATTTCTAAGAATTTAGAAAACATGTTGATAATCTGTGTTTTAAAAGGGTGGAAACATATTTCTAACAGCTGGATATGCCTGATGTAAAAATGTTTTGATAAAGTTTTTTCTATTTTTTTGTGTGTGTTCTGGTTTATTTCAGTTAGAAATGCTTTTTCACTCATCATCTTAAATAATTTATTCGATAATTCTGGTGTACTCACACTACATTGTTCTGGTAAAGTATTTGAGAATTATGCTGTGTTTGGTTAAAGCAGGAGAAAGAAACACAGAATTATGGTTCCAGTTCCCAGTTACGAATCTAGAAATTCTTCAAATCAGAGATATATGTTTTTAGTTTTAAATTATGGTTTTAGGCTGAGGTTTTTCTAACCGTCTATTGTTACAATTCTTTCTGCACTTACCTGTAACTTTTTTAAAAAAATATTTTGTTATTTTGAGAAGCACTGTCCAAAAATCTGAGGGAGAAACATTTAAAAAGTATGAAAATAGAATTGTGTTGTCAGGATGATTCAGACACAGGTGTGTCTGAAACCTTAAAACAGTCATGTTGTATTTCAAGCTTGTCTGTACTTACTGTTGAGAATTTAATTTTTGTTGTTTCTAGGATTACAATAAAGCTACTTTCAAGGAAGAAGACCTCTGGAGGAGGTCTTAGTAAAAGATGCCCCAATCTGATTTTCTTCTTTTTTTTGTTTTTTAAATTACCTTAGAGAAACAGATTATTATCACTGATGGTTTGCTGATAATATTATGATGAGATTAACTGCTGAACACATTCCCATTTCCAAAATGTTAGTCTGCATGTGGTGCATATTTGAGATTGCATATTTGTGCCCAAATGCCCAAAGAGTATCTTGGTGTTTTTTGGATACCAGGTTTCCTAATCTTTTTAACCTGTTCCCCAGTGCCTTTTTGCCTTCTTGGTACGTTCAGTGACACCTATTTCATTCCACTTCTTTGACTTTGAAACTGGTACTTTGTTGTCCATGCAAAGATGATTTGAGAAAGCAGTGCTATCTCCCCTTCTCAGTTTGCCAGTGTGTCAGCTCCGTTACTCTCTTGGTTTTTGTAGCTGTTTTGGGATCAGTTGACAAATTCATTTTTTTTGGCTGGGATTTTGGCTGGGGGTGCCTGTGGGGGGGAACTGATCTACTTGTGTGTGCATGCGTTTTGTAAAGGTTTTGTTTTTTTTTTTTTAATCATCCACATTTATTGCCAGACCCTATCACTTTGCTGGCTCTGCAAGATCGAGTGCTTCAACCACAGGATGTTTCCAAAACTGATGTTTGATACTGCGAGCTTCTGAAGTTAAGGCATAAACAGTAATTACTGCAGGGAGGGACTGCTAAAGGAGGATTTTAGATATAGGAAATGTATATTGTTTGTCTTTTGGATCATTTATAAAACCGAAGGTTGCACTGCATGTGTTCTTTAAAGATCCTAGGGCTTTCCACATGCAAATATTTTAAGTAGTGACTGGCCGCACTCCAGATTGGGCAATGATGTTCTCTCTACCTAACGTTCCTTCATAACTTTGGTTGGATACGGTGTCGCTTAGTTCATGTCCTGAGCAGTTGAACAGCATGGCTGTGTGCAGTTAAAACAGTTGCTACATCTCACCCCAGCAGTGTCTTAATTTTGGTGGTTTTAATGATTTGTGTATGTATAAATCAGGCTGCAAAGTGCTCTGGAGCCCTTCTGGATGGCAGGTGTATATAAGCATAAAGCCGTCATTAGCAGGAGCAGGTGTTTTGGCCTGGCAGGGAAATAGCAGGGCTTTTTAGAATTGTGGGGTTGTTTTCTTCTGTCAGCATGCTTTACATTTCTGTTTTTGTTTCCAAGATTAAAAATACAAATGGAGAAATGAAATTAAACATTGCTGCCTGGCCGAGAGCTCTTGGCAGTTCTGTAAGTCAGTTGCTTGAAGGAAGCTCTACTTCCAGTAGCACAGATGTTTGTTTGTGCAGGGGCCAGAGCCATCTCCATGACATGTCTAACCTCAGCCAGTTTTCCCCATTGGCAGCACTTAGTGCTTTTACTCTAATCATAGTGAGGTGATGGACTCTAGTGTGAAGACAGAAACAGTAATTAAAATACTAACCACTTTTTGCATAACTGCATGGCTGAAGTGTTCCAGCACATACATAGAAAACATGAAGAAACTCAAATGTAGGGTAGTATTGTATGTAGACCCTGGTTGTGTTACATTGAAGGTTTCTTTAGTGGGAAAGGATGGGGTAAGTGGGTTGATGCAGAGGTGCTATAATTGTGATTGAATATGAGGGAGGAAGGAGAAAATTATCTGCCCAAATTACTACTTTTTGAGTTCTGAGATTACAGGTTTTCTGGATGTATGTTGTGAGTATCCTTAATTTTGGTCATGTGTTGTGGAACGTTGGATAAAAGAGGTATGCCTGAGTGTATTTTATTTACTTTACTGATCCATTTTAAAGATTTTATTGGATTTCTTGCATCTTTCTGCTCTGATCCCTGTTTATAAAGGTTCTTCTATTGTCTTCAGTCTTCATCCTGTGGTTACTTGATTTTTTTTTTTTTTTAAGTCTTTCTGCAAAGCTAACAAAAGAGGGATTGTGCGTTTTGATACTCTGTCATCTCTGTCTTCCCTAGTATGTCCGGTTTTCTTATTAGGGCATAAACTCATATGGAAAAAGGAGTCTTTTGGAGGCAGGGAAAAGGGGGGAGGGGAAAAATGTACACTGACATTTAAAAAAGGAAATAGAAATCTTGATTTCTCACTCTGAGAACTCTGAAGCAATTATATGCAGCAGGAGAGACCTGCGTATTCAGCCATTAATATTTAGCAGCAAATGTGGTGCTACTTTTTGCTTTTGTTTTTAAGTAGTATATAAACACTGCACAGTAATTTTAACCATGAAAACTACAACATGTCCTCCAAATGTCAATTTGTGTGGACTTTAAGCAGGTAAAACTATTTGACTGGTTGGGAGTCTGGCTTTCAAGCTGATCAGAATGACTAGAGGTCCTTAAATGAGAAATTGTACAGAAGATACTTACTCCACTTACGGAAGTAAAACTAAAAGAATTATTTCTGTAATGGAGTGATACAGATGTCCTAATAAGTAACCAGTAGTCCATTGTGATTTGTCTTCCTGTAGCTTCATTGCATAAAATGAATGCAGGATCTGTATGTAAGATACAAGTCAGGAATTAAATGCTGTTTGTTGGTCTTTTAACTTTCTCTAGCAGAATAGCACAGACTGTGAACTTTAGCTTTGTTATTTTGAGCACAGGTTTATACTTTTCAGTATTCTGTTAGTGTGAATCAAAACAAGATCTTATGAGGTATGACCAGAAGTTAGCTTTTTTTTTAAAGCCATTGAGTCTCTTGTGTTGCTGTTTTTCCTCACCTCTTCTTTCTTCTCTCTTTTCTTTTCTGTTCTTACCATGTTCCCTGCCTCTTTTTGTATGTGTGTGTGTGTGTTTTATTTTGGAGTGTTTATTACCTTGGCTTCTGTCTGTCCCTGGGACATAGTGGTGCACTTTCTTGATGACCTGTGTAGACAGAACCTTCAAGGTTCAGCTTAGTTCAAGGATGGTCTGGCTTTAATGATATTTCGAAGGAGTGGCTGTATCCTTGATACAAAGGATCCTAAGACACATCTGTACCCTGAAGATGCAAGCTATAGAGGGTACAGCTTCTTCAGAGGAAAAATGGGACAAGAGGAAAGGTAAGAAACAAGATTGGGGCTGAACAAAGAATGGAGGAGGGAAGTTTGTAACAGAGGGAAGGAAGCTGATGCTACTTCCACAGCTGAAGGGTTGGGTTTATAGGGAAATTTGTTGCTCTTCTTATTGGAAACAAAAGATAAGCTGTGTCAGTTTGTGGTTTTTCTTGTGTGTCTCTTTTTCAACACAAGGGGCAATAGTTTTGCAATGCTAGCTCTTGGTTGCTTTCATTTTGCTTGCCCTGTTCTGGGAAAAGGCGA